TTGATGTAGTAATTAAGTCTACAGTGTTCTGTTAAAAGTTTAATGTAGATTTTAATATCGTTTCTGCTAAGGCCAAGATTAGCAACAACTTTGATCTGTTCAGATCAATGAATGTTCTTGACGTCGCATGACTGTTTGGGCTCTTCAGTGTTCAAGAAGATGTTGTTTCTCCCGTTCACATAATAAGTTATTTGTGAAGCTATTTGTTACTCCGCAGAAGGGCTCTGGACCAATGAAAGGAGTACATGCACCATTCTTTGCTAGGGAGTCTGCTATGTCATTGCTCTCATGCCCTTCATGTCCCGGTACCCACATGGGAGTAACATAGTTTCTCGATGCTAGGATATTGTACCGGTATCCACATAAGAGGAATATAGTTCTTCGATTAGGACATAATAATTTGAAATTATTTCAGCCTCTTTTTTAACTGACCTAACATCATCAATGTATGTTAAGTTATCATAAATTATGAACATAGCTAATTTAATAGAGCTTAGTTCCATTTTACTTCAACGATATAGTCTCACTATCATATCTGAACGATCAAACCATTCTGAGATTCGATAACGCGGTGTTGGTAAGCCTGTCAGTTTCCATTAATAATTTCGGGGCTCTATCCCCGATGTATTTTTTGATCTGTTCACTCTTAAGAATCCTGAGGATGTGAGTCGTCCCCATGTACCATGGTACCTTGAAAAGTCTTCTCAGAGCCTTGTTTTGTGCAATTTCTAGCTGGCGAATAGTAATGTTGAAAAGTCTTATCAGAGCCTGGCTTTGTGCAATTTCTAGCTAGCGAATAGTAGTGTCTGAAGTCTTGCTGAACGCTACACATCCATATGGAAGTCACGGACGAATTATTTGGTTATATATCAGCTTCCTCTTCTGTTCATTGAGATTTTTATTTTTAGGTAGCCACCGTGATGCCTAGATATTTAATACCATGAGTGGTTTTCTTGATTTTTATGGCATTAAAATTTTCACCACTGAAGTATTTTTACACATAAGAAATTCATTTTGACACACCTAAGAAATTCTGAAATATTTAAGTACTCCACAAACTCATAACTTTCTTACACTTCTGGACTAGAAATGCCTTCATATGTAAATGCAATAAATTCTCATAACTTTAACTAAAATGTATGTGGAATTTAAAAAACTTTCCAGAAAATCACTTAACTACCTCGAAATAGTCACGTTGCAATTTGTGCCATAAAATGAAATTATGAAATGGAACAGAGCCAGCAGTCATTTCTGCATCTCACAGCTATTTTTACTCCATGCCATTTACACTTACGAAGTTTCATTGTAAATACTTGTGGTACCGGAATATTTTTGTAAGCTAATGTGCGTACTACGGTTGTCACTGGTAAGTCACTGGAACTCAAAGTTGTCCTGTGTGGAAGACAAGCAGCAACTGAAATCGATGTTATCTAAAGGCAAAGGATATGCGCACACTTACTTGACAGTCACACTCAAATAGAAGCTAACAAATGTCCTGCAGGCTTCCGCATGCCAAAGTAACTAACAACAAGCAACACATTGAGGTACGTACAATGCCTTACCTACTGGTACTTGCCTGTTACACTTTCAAGAGAAATTAATAGATATGTATGAGCTGGGCATCATGGAAAAGGATCTTTTCAATTAAATTTACTGGAAACCATTTGCCGCTGAAAGCAAAGGCATAATTTCATTCTAAAACTTTGGGTCAGGTATTTACAAAATTTGCACTTTAAAAATATTCAAATATGCATTTAACTTCATTTTGAACCTTTTGCCTTGCCCTCCCTTCCCTTTCCCTCCCTTCCCTTTCCTTTTCTTTCCCTGAAATTGGCCTAACCGAAAGGAGTGAATAATAATTCCTGTGAGGAACTTGTTTGTCGAAGCAAATAATTTCTTGAAATTAAATTTTATGAAAGTTTTATGCCGAGAAAATTAAACTTCGTCCCGTTTATTTAATGTTTCGTTGTGATACTTCAGCAAAACGCACATTTTTATAGCAGAAAATCAGTAGTTAACATTTCTTGGATTGCTTATAGGGAATAAAATTCAATTGAAATCGATTTGGGCACAACAAACGTGCCACATTTCCTTAATAAAAACCAAAATCCCCCAAAATTTCCACAATTTTTGATATCTCAACAGCCCATCATTTATACATTTTTTTGCTCTATTTTGTCCGACTTTTATGGGTTTTTTTATTTGGGCTAAAGGCCAATAGGCCAACAGGCCACTGTACATTAAACAGGAAAGTGCGCACATCCTGGGGCCAAATGTGCCAAAACTGCCAAAGGGTAAACGAGTGAAAATGAGTTTATTGAACTTTTATACCACAAATACGTACACCTGTTGAATATATTTCCTCTGACTTTTTATTTGTTGTTTATACTTTAGTAGGATTCTTTTTCGGCTTCCTTTTTTATGACGACAACAACAACAACAACAAATGTTTATTCCATATATGTTTCTATTCAGTAAATTTGCTAAATTATTCCGGCTTAATTTGCATATTTATGAGTTGCCTTATCTGTAACACAAGATATTCCCGAAATTATGCAAATTTTGGCAATAGATTGGAAGCTCTCGTAAATATTCCCGAAAGCCACTATTTATATATGCATATGGACTTATGTCGGCATACACATGTGAGTCAATAAGCAGAGGTCGTAAATTTTTAATAAAAGGCAAATTTAATACAAAGCTACTGAAACTATTCAAATAGAACAAAATCTCTTCAAGTATCTTGGAATTTTCCAAGCATGCGAAACTTTCTTCCCTTAATAGCATAAGAAACTATTGGATTAAGTCAAATATCTGATGTTTTATTAAAGCAAGTATTTTTAAACTAAATTATTTAATACATGAAATTATGAATTCTTTCATTCATAAAATATGAAACTTTCTGATAATAAATCAATTCTAAAATATATTACTATAAAAAATATTCTTAAACGTGTACCAAATAATTATGTTGCCACCAGGACAGTGTAGACCTACACGTATTACATATATGACTTTAATCTGGCTTACCATTAACCTCGCATATACCTTTTAGTTTCTAAAGATGCCAGATAGAATTAAACCACTTTAAAGACGTTTATCACATAGGAATACAATCACAAATAAATCTATAAATAATTAGCTAAGATTTCATAGAAGCCACAGTAGGTCATTATGCTAAAATATGTCTTTTTCAAATAGACGATTTTTTTTAAAATGGCAATAATCGAGAATCTAATGTCATATTTACATACATATTGACAAAATCACCAAAATTGCCATCAATCTAGAGATTCAAAAAAAAGTTCTTCACGCCAATAGATATAACTTTGGCCTAAGTAGGCCATTCAATAATAAAATTTTCTCTCGATAAATAGAAATCGCGTTTTACAAATCTCTTATCATGTCTGCATCATTTTAAGATCATTTTACAGAAAAACTCTTCAGAAGATCAATTGCTCTGTACGCTTTAGTAATAAATAACAAGTTAACAACAAGTTAATTGCCATTTTAATTGTAGTAAGTGGAAAACCCATATCTGAGAAGTAAATACCAGGAAGAAAAGCGCCTACCTTTGCAAGCTCGTCTAACCTGCAGTTGCGCGAAATCTCTTTATGTTTCGAAACCTATATGAGTTGGACCCTAGCTACATCATTGAAAGAAGCTCAGCAATTTTGCGTAATAATTGATGTGGCTGATGTGGCTATCAGTGATTTAATCCGAGATCACTTTAGCAGCTTAGCTTTCCGAAAAAATCCAAATAGAACCATCAGTGATTTGACTGCCAAGAATTCATTGTAATACATAATGCGTTGTCATTACTTCTGCCGGAAAAAAACTGTATTGGTTTGAAAGTCGTAACTAAAAGCTGAGAACTTATCTTCTGAAAATATGTCACAGCCGACTTGATCAGCTATTTTCGAGTTGTCTGTGTAAATATCTACCGTGTTAGCAGAGATCACTTCTTCAAAGATCTAGTCTGCCCCGCTTACTATTGGAGAGTCGAACCTCTGGTTGAGGTTTAGGTTAGGGCATATGTAATCAATTGAGACAGTGACTGATAAATCCTGGTACAATTCGATCGCGTGCCCTATATTAATTTTTGACCAAAATCAAGTCGAATGAATGAAAGAGAACGCTTCAACCGGAAAGTTGTTGATTCTGTATCCGCTGGTGGTAAACACGGTAGAGAACGTTCCCATTTTTGAACCACAATATGACAGTACTCGTTACCATTAACTGGTGACAACCAGACAAAGAATGGCTGGCTTGAGTAGGTCACTGGACGACGATCAACGACGGTCATAGAACAAAACGGCCAAGGACGACTCAACAAAGGATAACACAAGTACCGAAAATATGTCGGTAAAACATTTTTTAATAAATTTGGATTACAAACTAGATACATTGTGTATTCTGAAAAATGAAATTATGTATAACAACTGTATACTAGGCAACGTGAGCTATTTCGAATAAAGGCTAACATAAAATATACAATGCACGTAGTAAAGAAATTGTAAGAGTTAATAAAGATAATCTATGTACGGAAGGCAGTTGTCTCTCCAGCACACCATATATTTAATTCTGGCCGCTTTTTATATAATGACATCAACTTAAGCCACAGTGATTCTCCCAAATATATGTAAATGGTATCAGTAGAAACGCTTGTTAGGTTAGGCTAGGTTGTACCGACTATCCAAAAGAATCCACTTAGACCTATTGACCTATTGTTTTACCATATAAACGAAAAACGTAGAGGTTTAAAACCACCATGAACCTTTGGCAAAGCTTAAAATGCTATTTAATGGCAAGTCTTGATCAAAATCCTCAAAAATAAGATGAGCCCAAGTAAGTCCGGTGGTGGAAATATGGCATTCTTATTTAATAAAATTTATACATTAATACATGAAGATATAAATTTTAAAATCCTTTATTTAAGAATTGCATATCAGTTTTCAATGAATCATATAATGTATTGTAAAAATTAATATATTGAATAAAATTATTATTAATGTAAAGAAAAATGAGATCTTCAACGTAAAATAAACCCAAAAAAAGTGAAACTATATATCACTTTTCCATATTTTAATAGTTTTGTCATTACTTAAGGATGCGGAAGCAATAATATTTGCGATGGGATGACAAGCAGTGCATAGTACAACATCATCGTGACCATCTAGCTTCTGTACAATTTGTTTAGTTTGTATATCCCAGATATAAATTAATTTATCTTCACTACCAGATACTACCCACTGCAAATAAAATGTATAAATAGAAGTGCATACATACAAATTGTTATTGTTATTATTATTGTAATATTGGATTAATACCTTGCCACCTGTAACTGAGAATTCAGCAGTAATGCAGAATCTCTCATTTTTGTGTCCAGTAAATGTCCTTAAGCATTTACCATGCTTGTAGTCCCACAATTTCAGAGTGCTGTTCAAGCTAGCAACCAAAACATATTTTCCATTTGGAGAAAATTTGGCATAACTCAAAGGATATTCAACGCCTTCGTCATCTACAATAAATGTTTTTAAACACAGCCCACTTATTGTATCCCAGACACGGCAATGTCCGTCGTAACTTGAGCTAATAATCATTGAACCATCACGATTGAAATCAACAGCAGATATTGTCTCTGAATGAGCGAGTTGGGCAATTAAAGGATTACCAGTGCGCACATCCCATGTACGTATGTATTGATCAAAGCCACCAGATACAATTATATTGCTTTGAGGATTGACACTGCAGCAGAAAACGACGCCATCGTGGCCAAGCAATGTTTTCAAACATTTACCAGTGCTTAATTTCCAGATTTTTAACGATTCATCATTGCTAGCACTTACAATCAAATTAGAGTCAGCCGACCAGACCAAATCGTTTATACCGTCCATATGACCGAAAAGAGACTTTTCAAATTTTCCATCATAACCACCCCAGATTTTAATAAGTTCATCAGCAGCTATATGAAGCTATGCTTATTAAATACATACTATAACTAACTAAAGGCGTATTGACTTACATGAACTAGCCAACCACTCTCCATTGGGACTAAACTTAAGTGCTGACACGGCTTCGGTATGGCCAGCAAGCGTATATTTAAGCGTGTAATTTGGTGTTTGCTACATAAAATTCGATTTTTTAAATAAAGAAGGAAAGTTTGAATAAATGGTGACAAACCGCTTCAGTATCCATATTGCAGAGCTTCTTTTAAATTTTGCGCGCACAAGTATGTACACTACCAAGCTGGATCCGTATTGCTTTATTTTCTATAATTTCACAGTGTTTTAATGTTTTTTCTTATTATTCACAAATTACGTCTAATGCAATTTCATAAAATTCCGTATATATGCAC